AGGTGCGGGTCACCCTGGATCACATCATCGAGGACGCGCTCGTGGTCTCGTTCCGCCTGGGAGAGAAGCTCTTCTCGGGGGTCCTCATGGACCTCTCCAAAAGGTGAGAGAGGGAGGGAGGTCGCGGACCCCCCGCCCCGTGTTAACCGCCGGCCGCTTTCCTTCCCGTGGGGAGGGTAAGTCTGGGGTCCGGCCCGGGGCACGCCCAGCCCCGCGGGAACGGGAGGCAGGCGGCTGGGATCCCTGGGCTTCTTCCTCGCTGTGGCCTGGAGGGAAGAATCGCTCCCTCTTCCCCGCTCCTTACTCCCTCCCCGTGTCGGGGGCCGGTCCTTGTCTCGTCCCCTGTAGCTCGTTTCCCTTGGACACAATGCCCTGATGCCAAGTGGCCGCCACTGCCTTATGCTGTGGCCTTGGGCTGAGTGGGAAGAAGTGAGGAGAGAGGCCCCCTTTCCTCCTGGTCCTCCTCCTAGCAGAATCAAAGCTGATCCAGGCTTGCCTCCTCCCTTCCCCCAGTTCTGTGCTGACAAAACGACTGGCCTGGTGGGAATGGGAGAAGAGCGAGACAGGAAGAAGGAAGAGCACATGGGCGCTCCCTCGAGCTCATTTGGGATTCATCTTGGGCCTTGGCTGTCCCTCCCTGCTGGCAGCAGGGACCCGGAGCTGCGGAGCTCCATCTGAGCCTGGCCAGATCTGGGATGTTCAGGCCCAGAGTTGGCTGGCATCTAAATAGCAGCTTGTGCTGCCCGGGCTACTTCATAGTCCATGCTGAAAGCACATTATCTTTCGGAGTGGAGACTATTGCAGCCCTAAAGTGTGATTACTAGTACTAATTGCTCCTTGTGTTTAGTTTATGGGGAGTGGCTCTTAATTACACTTAGGAAACAGGCTTTTTCTTTCAAGAAACTGTTGTCCACCATAAAGTAAATGTGGGCCTGAAGAGGAAAAATTGTGTGTGTATTTTTTGATAGCTTAGTTTCCAAAAGCTTTTACCTGTAGGAGAGCTGCACATCCTTCTAGGAGCAATAGTGGGAACATTTGGAAAATACTTAGGGAGATACTCCATCCTCTTCAGCGGTTGCATTTTAAAGATTTCAGCATCCTGGAGGTGTATGAGACCAATGAGGCTTTCTTATTGTCTTAAACTGAGTGACATGCAGAAAGTATACAGCATAAACCTTGAACGACAAAACTAAAAATGTTCTTAAGCTTTAATCCTCAAAGTTGTAGTGATGTAAGTAAATTAACTTTTAAAAATTGTCTTTTAAATGAGAAGGTGTAAATTGACACCTGTTCTGTAATTTTTGTAGTCTGAGGATTTTTAGTGCTCCTTAAAGAAAGTCACACTATCTCCCTTTCTTTAGTCTTGCCCTGAGCCTGGCTTTCTTCCTTCCTTCTCTTTTGGAACAAGGTATTTAAAGACCCTAAATATAAATTCCATGAACAAGTTAGCAACATCTTGGGGGCGGTGTTTGAGGGGGAGAGGGGAAATCACAGGAGTGAGTTCTGCAATTCTCAGTTTAAGCGTATAGCAGTTGAAAGAGATGTACCTACATTTTCATTGTAATTTGCTTTGAAGGTGATCTGCAAATATGCACATTTGGTATAATTTAAAAAAAAATGAAACAAACCTCCTCAAGCAGGTGAAGGGGATGTTCAATCATGTCTTTTTCTTTTGTAGGTCTGAAGTCCAGACCCTCAGAATCTCTCTTTCTCACTCAGTTCAGTCCCTTGTGCTATGTGGGTGACAGCACTTGCCTTTAAATGACTCTGGATTCTGTATGTATGAGTAAGGAAAATCCTGACTCTTTCTCCTCCTACAAAATTATGTCTTATTAAGCACCTATATTTGTCCCCTCACAGCAGTGTGACTGGGGATTCCCTGTGCATCACTGAGGATCCTCTGTTGAATATCCCTGTGAAGCACATGGCCCTGCATGTGGAAGTGGTTGTGCTAACTAGGAGGGGCCCCTCCTTTGTTCCCTTGCATTGTGCTCTCAGTTGAGGCATGCTTCCTAGATTGCCCTGTGAACTTTATTTGAATAGTAGAGGGAGATTCTCATTGCAGAGAAACTGGAACAGGTAGTACAACCAAGCATTGCATTACTTGCATGTAAGCTTCTGAGGAGATGATAATGCCTTTTTGTCTTGCTTCTCTTGATACAAATCCCAAACTATGGAGGGCTCCCCCTTGCCTTGGGAGTCATTGCTTGGACTCCTGTAAAATCAGCTAGTTTTGGAGGAGTTAGGGAGTAAGAATTTGGCTTACTAATGTACCAGCTCTGCAGTGTCTGGGGTAATGACACTGTTGAATGTGAGAGAGTGAGCGAAGGCCTGGGCTCATACCCAGAGGAAAGGAATGGTAAGTAAACTCTAGAAAGGCATGAAGAGCTTGTTTAAATGTTAGAAAAGCCTACATTACAGATGATAAAAGCTAATATTGTTGCATTAACTTGTATAGATCTTAAGGTGTAGACATGGCCTGTTTCTGCTTTTAGGCAGTTCTGTCAATTCAGAGGACTGTCATAATTGAACAGCGTTTCTATTTATGTATGCATATATTTTCCCCATTGCTCTTATCCGTAAAAGATAGCATGACTTAGTCAAAAGTTGTATACATTTTAATAAACTTTCCTCTCTTCTGTGGAACTCTTGTTTACTGAGAATTGCCTTCCATGAAGCACTCCTAATAATTATCCCAGAGGGGAAAAGGGAGAACCAACCAAAACCCTAACAAGCATGGATTAGCTTGAAATCATGGGAATTCCCTTGAGAGAGATTTAGCTGCGGGAGCCTGTCTCTAACCTGTTCATCCAGATATGTGGGAAAGTTTATATAAACATTCTCGGTGCAAATGTGGCTGCTTCGTTCAGCTTGTTACTTCTTTAGATTCTTAAACTTAGCTATGAAATCTGGATGAGTTTTAGAGCAAGATAGATTGGTCTGGCATTTTAAAAGATGACCAGCAGCATTGGTTACAGGTGCTAATACCTTGCACAGATTGCACTGGAGGAAAACTTTCTGCCCTGCATTGTGAACATTGATAGACTTCCATTTTTGGCAGAAGGCAATGAGGGTGCTGTTTACCTTATTAATGTATTGCAGAGAGTTTGAAGGATTAATGTGTGCTTTTAAAAAAAAAAAATACTGCAGGCAGGTTTATTGCCCTTCTAAGGTTGAGTGCTTTGTCACTCCTGTAACATGGGATGAAAGAACAACCAAAATGCCTTTAAGTGTTTCTCTGAAAGCTGCTTCTACTTCTCTTTCCACTATGCTAGCTTTTGTATTTGTTTCAGCAGATCCATGTGATGTCCATACTGGAACTTAAAGGAACTTATTTAAGACTGACAAGTTTTAAACAAACCAAAATCTTATTCTGCATTCTACTCTAAATAGTGTGTGTACCTAGTATTTATGTTCCTCATCACCAGGGATCCTGGTTTTCACTGATTTAAAAAACAAAACAAAAAAAAAACCCAACAAAATACAAACCCCAGTTTTTGGGTTAAAGTAACCCAAAATCCACATTTTTCCATGATTAAAATGAAACGAGAGCTAGAAGTGGCGTTTCACTTTGATCATGGAAAAATGTGGATTTTGAGTTACTTTTTAAACCCCAAAACTGGATCTTATTTTTTTTAATCTGAGAAAGCAGGGATCCTGGCTCATCACTAATAGAAGTGTCTCGTTTGTTATTGGATTTTATCTACACAACATCCTTGGGAGGTAAAGTAGTACTGCAAATGCTGTTATAACTGGTGATATGATGTACAGAATCAGCCCAGTAAGAAGTCTTGATGCTGGGCTGGGAGATGGAGCCCTGATCTTTGAAATTCCAGGCCTAACTAGTAGAAACTTTGTATCCATAGCCTGGTTTAAATTTTTAAGAAAAAATATTTTTGAACCTCTGCTACTGTTCAAGTGGGCCAATTCAAGAACATCACACTAGGGCTCACTTTCCTTTTGCTTGCTTTTTTTTTTTTTTTTTGTTAAAATGCTTGTCTGCCCTTCATTTTTAACATCATTATTTTCTTGTCTTCTCGAATGGTCAGAGGAAGGTCAGGCATGAGGGCTCTTCAGTGCAATGCAAGAGTGGTGAAGTTTTGCTAGTGCATGAGATGTGAAGCTCAGTCAGCATCAGAACAAGGAAACTAACTGCACAAAGTAAATGGGCTTAGTGAAATGTATAACACTTCAGTTATAGT